CCGGCACTGAACCCTGATGAAGATCCCAGGCTTCGGGCTGCGGTGCGGGTGGGGGGCCTCCAGCTGGGACGCCCCCAGGGTCTTTGCTTCTGTCTGCTCAATAAGTGACCTGTGAGCGACTCTGAGGGTCCTCCTGGTGGCTGAAACGCAGAGACATCGTCGTCCTGAGGGTTAAGGTGCGCCTGACCCCAGTCCCGGCACTTTCCCTCAGCGCACATGCAAGTGAACATCAGACAATGAATGAGGAAGGCTGAAGTGTGGCAAACTGAGGACTTGGTAGAAAGTATTGGACCTTATTTCTCCACTTGCAACCACGGGCACAGAAAACTAACACTATTTTGAGAAAGATCGCCATTGTTCCAAGATAGAAATACTTTCAAATACACATTCTCCAGGCCAAATAAGGTGCTCCCCCTGCAATAGCCCTCCACTGAGAAGCAGTCTTAAAGGAGCTACCCTAACAGATGAATCATTTCTGTGCCTGCCCACTTCACTGGTGATCTGCAGATAAGAGCCATCAGGTTGTAGAGCCGAGCCAAGGTGCAATGTAGCAAACAAACTCTGCTTTGGCATCTCTTGCCGATATTGATTAGAGATTACTACCCCTGGGGAGGGCTGAAGGGGGTGGAAGGGCTGAGGTCAACTAGCTCTAGGTCAAGACACTGGCTCCTCTAATTGCTTGTTTATTGCTTTAGCCCCTTCCCCCAACACTGAAGAAGGCGCGGTGCCTTTGAACGGTGGTCTTGGTGAGGAGTACTGACCGGACCATGGACTGCAGGAAGAACAAGCACATCTTCCTGGAAAAGCACAGCTCGGACGCTGCTTAGACGTGAGGATGTGCTGTGGGCGTGCTATCAGGGAGGATCAGTCCCTGGAGAAGGACATTACACTTGGTAGAGCACCAGAAAAAAGAGCAAGACTCAGGAAATGGGCGGACACCATGGTTGCAACAATGGACTGTGGACTGGGGCAGAGCTGGGCAGGACTCTGTTCTGTCGTCACATCGGAGTCGGAAACAACTCAGCAGCAGACAACAACAACCTGCTGTGGCAGTGGCTTGGGTTTTATTTTGTTTTGTTTCCATCATTTAATGTTAAATAGCTGAAGCGGATAGGCCAACACCATCTTGTCCCAATAACACTCCCTGCCACGAGTCAGCCATAGACGCGGCTCCTTTGGTGGGAAGGAAAGAAAGAGACGACGTCCTTGTTCTGACTCACCAATCCCCCAAGAGATGGCCTGGGAGCAAGAGCTGGGGTGAGAATAACCACAGGGGTTCCCTCGAGAGAAGGCAGCAGGTGTGAAGTACTGCATGGGGAGTACTTGAGCTGCCTGGTCAGCTGACGCTCAAAATCTATCCAGGAGGGTATAGATATAAATCATATTCGCTTTTATTGCTTGTTAAGAAAGCATAGTACATCATCTGTTTTCTACACTGTAGTAGTTACATAATTCCATGGCAATCTGATTGCGTGTAGGGGTGGAGTCTAGCCTGTGGAGTCTAGGAGTTGAAATCTAGGGCAGTCTCGTGAGTCACTACCAGATTCCGTGTCCCTTTCGCCACATGACTCAGAACCAAGTGGACAAACCCAACAAGAACCTGCAGGGTCACTGACGAGCTGGTCATCGAACCACGCCCATGGAATGCAGGAGAAAAGACCTGTCTGCCTGCACGCCGAGAGCTGCGCAGAACACCCGTGGGGCTGGTCTGCCCTGGGACTCACGGCGTCTCCGTGGGCTGGGGGCTCAAGGGCACAAGGGAAGACTTCTAGAAAGGCGAAGACCGCCTTGCTGCTCTCGTGGTCAGGCCCCAAATAACAGCATGCAGTTCTTCATGCTGGGTCACTGAGAGCCCGGGGTCACTCTCATGCTCGCCACGCTTACTGCGCTTGCCTTCCTCCCCGCTCGGCTCCCTCTTCAACATGACTCCCTCACAGGAGTCTGGGACCAGCCTCCTTGTTCTGACACCTATGTGTCTAAACCAGCCTCGCCATTCCCCGTCACTGAGAAATAACACCTGGAGGGAGGAGGGAGGCTAGGGGTGGAGGCTGCTGACAGCCATTCCCTGCCAGGAGCTGCCTGTCCTGGGAGGCGGACACCAGAGAAGAATCTTCGGGACAGAGAGGGAGTTCGACACGCCCTACAGACGCACTCAGTTGAAAGAGAAGGGATTTTTGAAACCCAGGCAACTTCCTGTTGTTGCGCAACACGAGGCAAGCAAGCAAGGGCACACTGTCACTGTCCCCGGCAGCTGAGAGGAGAGCTTGTTTCCGCCTCTTTGGGGGATAACCTTTCTTTCCGCATAGATTCCTAGTGTTCTGTACCAACCAGCCTATTATGAGGCAAGAAAGGAAAAGGTAATTGTGCAGGGGAGGTCAGCAATAACAAGGAATGCGCTAACAAGCACAGAGAGCAAGAAGCTGGACAGGATATCTGTTTCTAAGCAAAGGGCTTCCTTTGCTGGAAGCACGCTTCCACTTCAGTGGTCGTTCTTTTTTCCCTAAACTTTTTTCCCTCTCCTCTGGGCTCAAAGGATGAGTCAATCCCGGGAACAAAGAATGCCACCCAACACCCCTTGACACAGAGATTGGGGCTTGGGGGGTGGGTGGGTGCTGTTTAATGAGTAAAGTCATCGGATCTGCACAAGATGACTAATGAACCCTTCTGGTTTGGTAGCAGCCAGCGCTCCGGCAACTTGCCCTCCTCTCTCCTTACAGCTTCAAAACAGGCCAAAGTGGCAGGAGACACGGATAACCGCAGGGCCCACGTCACAGAGGAAGCTGGGGAGTGACTTACAGATAGAGCAGCACCAGGCTGGTGGCCAGGAGGACCCAGGTCTCCATGGAGAAGGCTGGTATCAGGTCCATGGTCACTTCGTTTGCTCAAGAGTCTCCTCTGAGTTGTCCTTTGTTTGAGCTGTGTGTGGGGAGCTCTACTCAACAAGCAGAGCCTCCTTCCCACCCCAACTGAGGTTCAGGAAGAGTGCTGGCTGGTTTATAAGCTGAGAAGGGGGTGTGGCCCCAGCAGCAGCCAGTGAAAATCTTTCTGAGCTCCCCACCTAAAACTGGGGAGTTCAAGGTGCACTCTACCTGGGCATCAAAGTATCAGATCCTACCCTCACTTGACCTCCCTCATGTTCAGACTTGATTTCTCACAAGCGAGAAATCAATGTCTAAACAAATCTGTGTGATCAGCAAAGCCAAAGGTTGTCAGCTCTTTATCAGACATTCCAAACGGATCTGTGGAGCCATGAGCTATGATCATTTGGGTTATGATCATTGGATAGCTATGATCATTTGGGTTGGTCTCTTTTTCAAATGTTGTCAGCTACTGTCCAGTCTGCTCTCGGTCCTGGCCATCGTTGGCATCAGGCACCATCTTCACAATTGCTAGGTGAGGTTGGGACCGTGGTTGCACCAATTGTTTAAAAAATAAGGATTAAACATTAAAAGTATTTTTAATAAAAGAATGTCCAAAATATTTTTTAAGGAATTCTGTACGAAACCACTGACCTTAAGCCCCCTGTGACCTTTCTGGTCAGTCCTGATTGATATGATGGAAACTTTTCCAAATGAGTAGAAGACACTCATGCAACTTCCTCTGCCTTGTGGACCCTTGTACCCCTCATCCTAAGCCCAGCTCAGACAGAGCCCCACGCCCTGGGTTCGAGTGCCGCTTTCCCAACCACCTCAGACAGATATGCCCCTTTCCCCTCAGCACCATTCCCACCCAGTGGCACCCACATCTCCGCGGGGGTGTCCACCCTCCAGCTCTGCTGTTTGTTCTCCTTGTCGGGTCCAGAGCTAACTCAGCGACACCATCAGGATCGTGGTCCTAGTATCTGGCACACTACCTGTAGTAGTTACATCATCATCGCCTGTCAACTTACAAAGGGGTAGAATCTAGCCTGTCAACCAGGTCACAGCCTGATGACCTCATTTGGAGGCGCAAAGGAGATAAAAAAGCTCATTGGAAGGCAGACACATGCTGCTTCAGCTTTCTCTGCCTCATCATCCTGCTGACAAGCCACGTGGAGCTCTGTAGACAGAGCCAGAGCCCTGGAGCTGGAGGAGCCGCATGGAGACCCACGCCAGCTTGCTGAGATGCTTCCATCACCACTGGATCCACCAGACTTCCCACCCACTGGCCTGTGATCTTCCTGCATTCGGAGTCATTGCATGTGTTGGGTGAGTCTAAAGAAGACTTTACAGACTGGTATCAAACATATGAGCTAATATCGGACCTATGGACTTGAGCTGGACTGGGCTGGGATGTTTTCTTAACACATAATTTCAGTAGAAGCCCAGCACTCAACCGCATCAGTACTCGATGTAATTGGATTTCGACGTGAAATGGCGATCGTAGCTCAAACAAAACATCTGATCCGACCCAACACATGTGATTTTTGTAAACCAACGCAGTTCATGTTTCAGTCACTCAGCATTAGTTGGCGTTATTAGTACGAGTTGTTTAAACCTTTTGCAGCTATGTTCCAAGCATTTTGCTATCGTTTTCTTAGTTTTTGTGGATTTTTGTACTGTTTTTAGATTAAAAAAAACATGGGTCCTAAGAAAGAGTTTTTTGAAAAGAATCATCATGATAAAGAACTGGTTAAGTATGTTATCAATATTACTGATGATAATTTAGTAAACCCTTTTAGAAAGCAGTTAAGGAAACGCCAACAGCAGACCACATTAGACAGATTTCTTAAATTCTATTTATTTATTTATTTTGGAGAAAGCCAGCCAGGTCCTAGTGAAAAAGGCAAAGAAGGGAAAACTCCTGAAGAGCAGCTACAGTTGACTTGAGGGGCGGGGATCCCTCTCTCCACCCTCGTCTCCACGTCCGTGTCCACAGACCCAGATCCTCGTCCGTCTGAAGGTACGGGCCATCCTGCAGTGGTTACAAACTTTTTAATGTTGTGTTTCGTATTTAAATTATATTATTTAACTCTGAACTTATTGACTTTGAAATTTCTGTGTAATGTTTGTATAAAAAGGCTAGGCTAGGGTAAAAACTTGGTGGTCAAGAATGGATTAATCCGTTTTCAGTCATTTCTTATGGGAAAAACTGATTCGGAACTCGACTGCATCGCATCTCGATGCTCCTTCTGGAAAGGATTACTGTTGAGGTCCAGAGTTCTACTGTACTCTTCACATACTTACTCTCTCTTACACACTTATGAGTCTCCCTGGTTTTGTTTCTCGAGTCTACCTGGACCAACACACTGCCTTACACAAGTAGACATCCAGAAAGATCAAATGGGTTGAAATGGAGTGATATTGTTGGGTCCTTGTTAGTGACCACGCCATCATTCTTCTCCGGCACCACAATTCTTCTAAGGCAGTGGTTCTCAACCTTCCTCACGCCGTGACCCTTTAATACAGTTCCTCATGTTGTGGTGACCCCCAACCATAAAATTATTTTTGTTGCTACTTCATCACTGTAATTTTGCTACTGTTATGAATCGGGTGCCCCCCCCTCCAAAGGGGTTGCGATCCACAGGTTGAGAACCACTCTTCTATGGTCTTCCTTATTCAATGTCCAACTTTCACATATGATGCCATGGAGAATATCATGGCTTGAGTCAGTCGTGCGTTGGTCCTCAAAGTACCATCCTTGCTCTTCAGTACTGTAAAGGGGTCTTGTGCAGCAGATTTACCTAAGGCAATACGTCTTTTGATCTCTTGACCGCTGCTTCCGTGAGCAGTCATTGTGGATCCAAGTAAGGAAAAGCGTCCTTAACAACTTCACCCTTTCCTCTGTTTGGCATGGTGTTACCTGTTGGTTCAGTTGTGCAGATTTCGGTCTTCCTTACGCTGGGTTGAAATCCACACTGAAGGATACAGTTCTTGATCTTCATCAGCAAGGGCTCCAAGTCCTCCTCACTTTCTGCAAGCAAGGTCGTGTCATCTGCGTACTGCAGGTTGTCAATAAGCCTTCCTCCCGTCCTGATGCCACACTCTTCTTCACACAATCCAGCTTCTCTGATAACTTGCTCAGCATACAGATTGAATAGGTATGATGAAAGGATACGCCCCTGACACACACCTTTTCTGATTTTAACCATGAATATTCCCTTGTTCGGTTTGCACAACTGCCTCTTGATCCCTGGACAAGTCCCAAATGAGCACAATACAGTGTCCAGGACTCCCGTTTGTCTCAAGGCGATCCAGGGTCGCGGTCGGTCCGCACGGGCGAAGGCCTTTGCAAAGTCAAAGAAACACAAGTAAACATCTTTCTGGTGTCCTCGGTCTGAGCCAAGATCCAGCTGACATCAGCAAGGATATGCCTTGTTGCACGTCCTCATCTGAATTTGGCCTGACCTTCTGGCAGCTCCCTGTCAATATCCTGCGGCGACCATTGGAGGATGATCTTCAGCAAAACGTTACTTGTTTGTGAGATCAATGACATCATTCTATAGTTTGAGCATTCTTTGGGGTCAGTTGGGCACCCTGAACAGCATCAATCTCTGTTGCTTCCAGTCCAGCTGCTCAGAAGTTCCGGATAATAGCAAGGTGGGCAATTTCTTGGGCAAAGAATGGCCCCTCTCTATGAGTAAAGTTGTCATCTCCAGGAAGAATGGAGTTTCAGACATTTCTTATACATTTCTTACACCTTTGGATGGCTTTCCTGTCAAGGCTCTGTGCTCAGTGGTGGCTGCAGACAAGGTATCGCAGTAAATACACTTGTCTTGGTATCTTTAGGGTTCTTCCAAAGGTCCAATCAAAGCAGGGGTTCACAAGAGGATCTGCTAAACAGATCAATTCAAGGCAGAGAAGTCAGCTCTGAAGTTTATGCCCATCATTTTTCTGTGATTCCAACGGAGTGATCTTGATGGATTTTTCTCGAAAGACACAACACATTCTTGTGCTCTTATTAGGAAGAATTGTTAAAAAATTAGAAAACTGCATTGGTGAACCAGGCTAGGAAAATTGGTGCCGAGAAATTGTTTCCCGTCGTGAAGATGCGCCTGCTCCTCTTTCAAAGGAAACTTGTGGGGAGACATTAGCCCACCCTCCCTACAGCCCTTGTCTTGACCCTTAAGACTTTCCCTTTGTCCTTCCCCCAGACTCAAAGAACATTGAAAGCAAATGCGATTTTAGTCTCTCAAGCAGGCTGAAACTGACCTTTCGAAGTGGTGTCTATCAAAAAGCACAGAATCCTCTCAGAAAAAGTTATAGAGATAGAAACACCTCCTAGCTGTCCAGATACAAGCGCTAGACATGGTGATACATCTCCTAGCTGTCCAGATACAAGCGCTAGACATGGTGATACATCTCCTAGCTGTCCAGATACAAGTGCTCGACATGGTGATATGTTTGTTCCACAGAGGTTTCCATGACTTTTCAGCAATAGGAGGGGGCTTCCAAAGGTTCGTGGGAAAAAATGGAATGAAAAGATCACGGAATTTTCCCACAAGCTTTTTGAAGCCTCCTCGTGCTTTCTGACTGGCCTTTGTGTCCGCCCAGCTTACAGGTGTAGAATCCGAGGTCCAGGGACTGAGCACGACTTCCCAACGACTGGTGGCTGCAATCCTCAGCGTGTGAAAGTTGGACTTTGAAGGAAGACTGAGGAAGCATCACTGCACTTGAACTGTGGTGCCAGCAAAGAGGACTGCAAGCACCTACACTTCCAAAGGAGCAGACAGATCTGTCTTGGGAGCAGAACAGCCCAGAATGCTCCTTAGAAGAATCGATGGCAAGACTTCATTTCGCGTACTTTGGACGTGTCAGGAGACCAGTCCCTGGAAAAGGACATCATGCTTGGTCAGGTAGAGGGCAACACAACAGAGGAAGGAAGGGAACAGTGGCTGCAGCCATGGGCGCCGACACGAACAACTGTGCGGATGGCGGGACGGAGGAGTGGCGTTTCATCCTGTTGTGCACGGCCCCTTTGAGTCGGAACCAAGTGGACAGCATCTCATGATAACGGATCCAAGAGGTCGTGTGGG